TTTGGTTTTTCTCCGGTACCGGGAACCGAACTCACGACCTTGCGCTTGCCAGGCAGGCGCTTTTGCCGCTGAGCTAAATCCCCAGCCCCTTCTATTTGCTTTTGTTATAAATGCCTCTCTCCACTGCATCTCAATTTCTTTTCCTCTACCATCATTACACAAATGAGCCTTAGTAATACTCCCATCTTTAAATCCCTCCCTTGACTCAACAGTCCCCAACCCCCAAATCTAATTTCTCTGCTCCTTTCATTGCACAACTTCTTGCAAGTTTGTCTCTAATTCCTGCCTCTACTTTTATTTTGCCCATTTTCTATAAAAACTTACTAATTTGACTTTCAGGCTGAAACAGCTAATATTTAGGTCACTGACCAGTGACATCTTACCAGAGCATAAATCCTTGTCACAGTCAAACTTTTATCTGGCACAGCTGAACACTGTTTCCTAAGTGAAGTACTTTAACCGCTAGGCTTCTGGGATGTCACTTGGTTTTCTTTTACACTCTCCTCATAGCTGACTTTTGATGACACAGAGTTCTTTCTCCAGCTCTTTTTCCTTTCCCAGTGACATCTTCTTTATAATCTTTCACATTCAGTTCTGTTCTTCACTCTTTGTATGTTAATGATACCCAAATCACTACCTCTGGTCACACCTCTCTAATGAATTCAGGAACTGTACTTTTTCAAGAGCAAAACTGCCAGCTCCACTTGAATGTTAAGTAAGTTATGTCAAACTGAACTTAGCCAAAACTTATCTGTCTACCCATTTCAAAAAATGTTGCCAACAACCACCTAGTTCAGTCCCCAAATCCAGAGGTTATCTTCACTTCCACTGTTTCTCTTATACAGCACAAGTAATATATCATCAGCACTATACTCTGACTTCATCTCCCCACTTTCAACGCTTCAACCACACAAGACTCCTTGTCTCTTGTACTCTAAATTTACAAAAGGTTAAGTCACTTTCTTCACAGATCTTAGCTCAAATACCCTGCTGTCACACCATCATTCTGCAGCCCACGACCCTGTTATAAGGGTTTCCTCTGTATTTTTCTTCACTGGAAAGTAATCGCCATAAGGCAGACACTTGGTCTTGTCTTAATCTTTGCTCTATTTTTAGCATCAGCTATAAAATATGTATAGTAATGCAACAGAGTATTGACAGTACTCTGAGTTCACAGGATGGTTCAATGTGGCCACTTGAATGTATGAGCCTTTGATTTATTGTAAGCAGCATAAGATCACTTAGAGGAAAACCATCCTTATATTTTAAGAAGGCTTCATATCTTCAAAAGCTTTAAATGTGGCTATACAGCAAAGGTTTTATATTTTTCTGTTCCACTACCCTGCTTCTCCCACAAAAGAGTTGTTGTTTGGAGAACATTTAATACTGGTTTTTTTAAAACAGCAAAACAAAACTACATTACAACAATTTAAATAAACCAATGGAAAAAAATCTGGCTGAATTCCATTTTTTAGGTTGTTGCTGTTTTTCCTAAACTTATTACTACAATACTTAGGCATATACTTTGCACAAGGAACAATTTTGCATAAGAACTATATTAGAGGATAAAGAGCACATAGTACAAGACTATCTTGACTTAAGCAACCCTAACATATGATTCAGTTGACACCTATATAGCAGATACAAAGCTTTAAAAAACATATGGAGGAAATGGGCATTTAAAATTCCTTCAAGTACATTATATATGTAATTCTTTTCAATTGTTTACTACATTTTAGGGTCTTATATATGTGTGTGTGTCTTAAAATATTGAAATCTTACTGTTGGCTTTTTGCCTTCTTTTAACAAAGTTTTCCTCCTGAGAACACCTTGAATAGTAACAGCTCCTGGATATAAATGTACTGCCAAATCTTCTGACTCTGCAGAACTGTAACAATGGAATGAAGAAAAAGATAAGTAAGAGCTTTTGTCTATTGTAATAATTAAATAGGTACTTAAACAAAATAAAATGTAATTATTCTTAATTTAAAAACTTTGCTATTTTATTCACAGCCAAGAAAACACTGATAATTTTAAAGGTTTATTGACCTAAAATTTATAAGCTGTCACAAAAGTTAATTAGGAAGTTATTAAAGTCAGCAGATGGTTAAAACACACTGTTCCATATTTGAACAAGTATAATTTAGAAAGAATGCAGGAATTCACAAAATAAAGATTAACATAAAAATTTAAGAGTTTTTCTTTCTTCTTAACATGCCACACTGCATCACTGTAACTTTATTTTCCCCACTACAAACTTTAAGTCCTGGTAGGAGAAAGGAGGATTCTTTTTATTAAAAGTATTTAAGTATTTAAAACTGAAAATGAAAATAGCAGAACCTCACAAACAAAAGGAGAAAACTCACGCTCAACATAATTCTAAAGTAAGTGAAAAAAAATGCAGTAACGTATTTTTAAAAACTGGTTTTCTGCAATAAATTTTAATGACTTTCAAATGCAGTCATGACATAAGTGTTTGATTATGGCCTAACAGCTCTCCAAGAAGGGAATAACCTCTAAACTCAAGACTTTCTTTTTACTGTATATGGCTTTAAAAACCATCACAAAATAACCACACACTTTAGTATCTTTCCCCAACTGATTTGATATACTATTGCCTGCATTTCAAACAAGAATGATTTCTACATGAACCAATTAAAACACACACTGATAAAAATGGCATTCTTTGGTGATGTCATATGAGATATAGCATTCCTACAACAGCAAAAAAACCAGAAGTTTTCCAGTTTATTCCTTTTTGGTTATTTAGGTGTCTTCAAAGTGACTTAACCTAAAAATCAGTTAAAAATCAGTAGAAATTTCATGGTAGAGCTATTTATAATCAGGGAAGTACACATAAGGAAGTTAGACACCATCAAATAGACATAAAGTTGGCTGTTTTGCTGTATTTGAATTGGCTGATTACCCATTATCACTAAACCTTAGTTGTTTCCCCAGTGAATATACTGCAGAAAAAGACTCAGGTAGGACATGATGAAATATATAAATATTATTTAATCAAGTAACTTGTCTAGATTCAAGATCTGTGGCTTATTGGAAAAGAATTCTTAAAAAGGATAAATGTAAACTTAGCACAATCTTCTGATTGTAGTTTAAGAAACAGAAATTTATATTGCTCATACAGTAATTGGCAGTGTTAGAAAGACTTGTGCAGTTACAAGGCTACCAACTTGGAAGCATTTATAAAAATGTGATGAAGATAAAAAATTTTAGCAATTAGCTAGCTGTGTGATTAGGAAGAACAGTTTCAATTTATCTCTGTATTACATCTTGGAAGGAAATTATTCACGGGCAATTTGTTTAGTTTTAAAACCAATTAGCTGAGAAAGAACAGAAATAATGTCAGACCACACCCATATAAGCCAATCACCAACACCAGAGGGAAGTTTTATGACCCCTGGATACAGGGGAATTGTACCTGCTGGCCTTCATGTGGCTTCGATAGCCATTTCGTGCCACTCTTGTCATCGGGCCCAGAGAATGGTATAATCTGTTCCTGTTGGATTCCATTATAAATTGTATATATTACATATACTTTATTCACACAATTATCACCACTACCCAGAACACTATAAGAGAGCTTCTTTGTGTAACACTGCTTTCTAAATCTTACAAAAGGACAGTATGTGGTTGTTCCTCTTTTTAAAGCATGCAGTACATTTTAAAAAATACTTATAGGTGTTTAATACATACTATACATTTATATATACATTTATTTTCATCCATCCACCAGAAGAACTAAGAAGGTATTTTTTAGCCAAATAATATAAAAACCTGAAAAGTGCTTCAGAAAGCCTTGTTTGTATTCTATTTCCTGCATTCGAGTTTAAAGTTGATGTCTGGATTTACACAAATAATTCTTTTTTTTTTTTTTTACACTGGTACCAGGAACCGAACTCACGACCTAGCGCTTGCCAGGCAGGCGCTGTGCCGCTGAGCTAAATCCCCAGCCTCCAAATAATTCATTTTTATTATATGCCCCAATGAAGACACCTAAAAGCAATGTGGCTTGTAAATTTAAAACTAATAAGGAAAACCTCTTTATAATAAATCAAAGAAAATAAAGGAGACAAACTGCATAATAAATATGGGCACTATTTTATTTCTATGTCAACTGATAGAGTCAACAAATGATATTGTTTGTGTGAGTTGATACTTACACAAAATGGTACACCATACTTAACAAAGGAAACAGAGAAACACTGACACTTCACTGCTCAAGAAAAGCAAAACTAACACTGTTGATAAACAATACTTAAAACAACCTTTACTGTAGCAGTTTAAGCAACAATATATTTGATGTCTCTCTAGAGAATAACAGAAAATGGTGTGTTAAAATTCAGAGTACTATCTTCAGATTTATGATTCACAGACACTACAGTGTTTTAAATCCCATTCTACATTTACTTTTTATTATTTTATGTCTGAATCTTGCTGGACAACACTCATTTAACTGTTTTGAAAATGTTTTAAGAGCCACTAATTTGCCAGGTGTGGTGGCATACATCTGTAATCCCAGTACCCGGGAGGCAGAGGCAAAAGGATCAATGCAAGTTTGAGCGTAGCCTGGACGACATAGTGAGTTCAAGGCCAGCGTGAACTACGTAGGAAAACACTGTCCCTAAAAACAAAAATAAAACAAAAAAGCACCACTGATTTAAACTTGGCACAAGCAAACTTTTTTCCCTCTTAGCTGCAAAGCAAAATATTTGTCATAAAAGAAAAAAACATTGTTTTGAGATGTGAAGACAATACCAATAAACACTGTCTTGATAGGAAACCTGCTGGGATGAAAGTAGATTAACACAACACCACTTTGGGTTATTCACTTCTAACTTAAGCAGTAGAAAAAACAATTTTGCTAATCAGTAATTTTTATCTAAAACTTAAAATATACTCTATAATCAACAGCTGATGGTATTATGCTCTTTCTAGAAAGATAATATGTACAAATTCAGAGAGCAGGTAAAAGCCAACTCTTGTGTTTTTTTCCACTTCAGGAAAACCAAAATTAAGAAAATGAAGATAAAGACTGGAAGAAAGGCGTATGTACAAATAAATTTTGAAGACTCCTACAAGTGAAGAGAATAAAGCTTGGGAACACCAATAGAGTAGAAAGGACCAAAAAATACTGTACTTTAAAATATAAGTTATAAGTGAAATCTTAATCACAAAGTGGTGAGGAATCAGGAACAAGGATCTCATTTTCCAATTAACCAGCTTAAAATTAATTAAAATATGTAATGTAATTGCAAACTGCTTTCTACTGAGAAGTGACTTAACAGGGCTGGGTGTGGTAGCACACACCTGTAAATCCAGCAACTCAGGAGGCAGAGGGAGGAGGATCAAAAATTAGATGCCAACTCGGGCAACAGAGTGAGATAATGCTTCAGAAATAAAATAAAAGGGCTGAGGATTGTAAATCAGTGGTAGAGTGCTTTCCTAGCATTAAAGAAGCCCTGGGCTCCAGTTTTAGTACAAAGAGAAAAAAACAGAACAAAACAAAGCAAAGCAAAACAAAAACTAAATATATTCAACTCCATTTTTCATACGGCATTAACATTTGACCTAAATAAAATTAACCTGCTGTTGCTTAGAAACTCAGCTGATTAGCTTATGTGCAAAATGGAACAATTACTTTGGTCAAGAATTAAATGTCTAGAGTCTAAGAACGGTGGTATTGAAGTGACCAGAGGTAACATGAGAATCCTAATGGACAGGTTACAAAATCAACACACAAAACCAATACTGTTCTCGTACATCAATAATGAACCCACTGAGAAAGAAATCAGGAAAACAATTCTATTCACAATAGCTAAAATCAACCTGATCAAGGAGGTGAAAAACCTTTATAATGAAAGTTACAGAACTCTAAAAAAAAAATTGAAGACACTGGAAAGTGGAAAGACGTTGTTTGTTCTTGCATTGGAAGAATATAGTAAACATGGCAATATTACCAAAAAGTAAGCTATAAGTTTAATGCAATCTCTATTGAAATACCAACAACATTCTTGCCAGAACTAGAAAAAACAATCCTAAAGTTTGTATGAAACCAAAAAAGACCCAGAGGAACTAATACCACCTGAGCAAAAAGAGCAAAGCCAGAGAAGCATTACAATACTGGATTTCAACTTATACTACAAAGTCATACAGCAAAAACAACATGGTACCGCCACAAAGATACACATGTGGACCAATGGAATGAACAGAGGACAAAGAAACAAACCTACAGCTACAGAAACAAGCCAAATCTACAGCTATGTGATTACTGACAAGCCAAAAAACATACAATGGGAGAAAAGACAGCCTCTTTTAACAAAAGGTGCTGGGAAAATTGGGTATCTCTTGCAGAAATTAGATACTTAGCTCTCATCCTATACTAAAATCAAATCAGAATGAGACCAAGATAGATACAAAAACAGAAACTTTGAAACTGCTGGAAGATAACATAGAGGAAACATTTGAAGCCATAAGCACTAGGCAAAGACTTCTTAAATAGCACACCAGTAGCACAGGAAATAATATAAAAAATCAACAAATGTTTACATCAAATTAAAAAGCTCGCTACAGCAAAGGAAATAACAGAAAAGATACAAGTTACAGAATGTGAGAAAACTTTTGCTAACTACTCTCCTAGTAGAAGATTAATATCTAGACTATATAAAGAACTCAGAAAAAGTAATCTTTAAAAAACAAATGACCCAATCAAAAAAATGAGCAAAATGACTGCAGAAACACTTCTCAAAAGACGTACAAATGACCACTGAGTATATGAAAAAAAAACGTGCAACGTTTTCAGTCTTTGGGGAAATGCAAATCAAAACATCAAGGTTCCTTCTTACCACAGTCAGAATGACTATCAGCAAGAACATAAAAAATAACCCGTGTTGGTGAGGATGTGGAAGAAAAGTGAATTCTCCTACACTGTAGGAGTATAACCTCATATAAAACTATGAAACTTTTTTGGAGCTGGGTATGGAGATTCTTCAAAAAATTAAAAGTAGGAATACCATTTGACCCAGGTATACCTCTGCTGGGTATATTTCTCAAAGAATTATAGACATTATAGTGATACATGTTGAGGGCCAGGGATATAGCTCAGTGGCACAGCACCTGCCTGGCAAGTGCGAGGTCATGAGTTTGATTTCTGGTACAAAAAAAAAAAAAAAAAAGTGATACAGGCATACCCATGTCTACAGTGGCACAATTCCCAACAGCTAAGCTCTAGAAAAGGCTTAGATGCCTGTCAACAGACGAATGGATGAACCTACTTATCAGTCCAATTATTTAAATAAAGGATGACCAAAACTTGCAAAGTTTTTGTTTAATTTTTATGGTAATAGGAAATATAAAAATGATGATTTTATCATATTTATTAAATACAAGAACTGACTGGTTGAAGTGATACCTGAATGAGCAATGCTCAGGACAGTCAGCATGTAAATAAACATGCTCCCCAAGTGACACTCAGGTAAACTGTTAAGTCATTAAAAAAAAGAGACAGATATACAGCCATAAAGAATGAAATCATGTCATTTGTAGGAAAATGGATGGAACTTGAGACCATCATGCTAAGTGAGATAAGCCAGACTCACAAAGTTAAATATTACATGTTTCCTCTTACATGAGAAACCTGAAATATATATAAATAAATAAATGATAGATAACAGGAAACTAGAGTAGACTCTTGGAGATGGCGTAGGGCATTGAGAAAGGGGGAGAAAAGAGGGAGGGGCTAAATAAAGAGATTGAAAAACGATCAAGATGTTATATGCATGTACCAACTTCCCAACACCAATAGCACTACTCTACATTATAAACATACACTTAAAAAAAAAAAAGAATCTAAATGAACATTTAATATAAACTATTTGAATTGTTTGGCCACGTTTTTAGACCTTGTATTGAATATCAATATAGCATTATTTGCTCCACCACAAATGCTGCCTTTTGATAGTGCAACAAAATTTTATTATTAAAATTATTTAAAAATTTTAAGTTGCAACACTAAATGTACTTGAATTTCAAATACATATGTAAAAATACCAAATACACATATCTGTAAGGCTGCCAAGAGCTCATCATTCTTATTACATTCAATTCCAAACTGAAATATGAACAACTTAATTTTTCTATCAGAAAGAAACTTACATAGACCCTTAGAGATAGAGAAAAAATACCTCTTCAAATTCATTTCTCTTACCTTTCAAAAGCAGGCCAGGAGGTCTCCTCACTTAGTTCAGAACCATCACTGCTACCTAAAATCGAAAGATACTTTATTTAAACAACAGAATTATTTTTCCAGTTTGGATTTTATATCTAAAAAATCCAAAGTATACATAATTTAAAGAGTAAAATAAAAGGTAGCTAGTACGAGACGGAAATAGACCTTTTACAAATGAGAAGGGGATCTAGAAATGGAAGTAAAAAGAACTAAAATGTGTCACATACATGTATCAGCCCCCTAAATGAATGTCACGCTATGTGCTGCAAACATGTAACTAATAAAAATTTTAAACATTTAAGAAATGAAAATATTTCTCTGTGAACATAAAATGACAATGACATTGTGGGCAAACATCCACATATTAAGTTTTTATTCTAATATCGCTGCTGCTGTGTTTTGCAATATACTGGAATATAATTAATAAGAGTACCTAAAATACCAAAGCAGAGTAAGACATTTCTGCATGACTTATAGCTAAAATTCATTGCTAAACAATTCTTCTACCAACAGAGAATGCACAGAACACAAATTTTTTCTCATGAAGTTTGTCATAATATCTGTAAGAAATCCTACAACACTGTGGCATATTTTCTTTTGTACTGAAACCCGTACTACCCTGAGGATAAAAAGCTTAATAAAATTAATTTCTTTGCCTTTAGAAACAAGGGTGAAGAAAAAAGTTTTAAATTAAAAAACTATATACCGATATTATAACAATGTCACCACTTCCTCTTTCGCTAGAATATTAAATTGTCTTCAAACAGAAACTTTAAAATTAGCTAACAAAAACCTGAGGGGAATGAATTTGGGGAGTCCATAACAGCTCAAATGAACTTAGAAGTTATTTTAGAGATAATTTCGGCCTGCAAAATGAAAATGATGAATACGTCAGGTTGAACTATGCATCAGACTTTTATAATTGAGGTTCCAAGAGAGACTCAAATGCTAACATAGTAAGGGAACAATTATATGATTACACCTTTTTTATGTATTTTGCGTGACGTTAGTTATGTACAAGCTTGGATGAAGTGGGGCAAAAGTCATGTATTTCGTGGTTCAAATGAGGAACCAGAGGTAACCTGATGGTGATGGAGTCTTGCAGACAATGATGGTTAGTGGTACTGGGGAATAAACCCAGGGAACTCTGACCTGTATCTTCAGACATTTCTTTAAAAAAGTGTTGTGCCAGGACCCTGCTAAACTGCCTAGGTTGCTGGGCATGGTGGCGATATACCTGTTATCCCAGCACCAGAGAGGCTGAGGCAGAGGAGTGCTGTGAGTTTGAGCCTAGCCCGGGCTACACAGCGAGACCCTGTCTCCAAACCAAACCCAAACAAAAAAATTCCTGAGGCTGGCTTTGAACTTGGTATCTTCCTGCCTCTGCCCAAATAACAGGAATTATAGGCATGTGGTACCATACAGGGCTTTGTAGATTATCTTTTGGTTTGAAGCATTATGTGGACTGGAAATTTAAGCATAATGAGTCTGATTTATTTGTAGGAAATACGAACTTTTCCAGAAGTATCAATCTCACATGGGGCGGTTTCTTAGTGAGGCAAGAGTTGTTTATCTTTTGCCTCACTAAGAAACATACATCCCCCACTAGAAAACATATATCCCACATCAGAAAGTGTTTGAGGCCATTACCATACCCAGCCCTGTAAACTGTTATATAGTACTTTCTCAAAGTCTTAGGAGACAGATTAATATTTCATGTTAAGGTTTACAGCTAAGGAAAAAAGAGTCTTTTTTGCGTGTGTATTAGGAGCTCTCACTGTAAGGTATTACTTCCTCCTCCTATTAAAACTGAACCAAAAACTTTGGAAGGAAAATGCCTATGTGTAATGTCCTCAATGTACAAAGATCAACCTTTTACTGTTCACCTACTTAACAGCCTTAGACTAACTAAAACACACACACACAAAGCCAAAAAATCTGCTCAAAAACATAACAGCCTCTAAACCGAGGCTCTCAGTATAATTTTCTTGTGGTAAAAGAAAACCTATATAAAGCAAAAGCTTCATATAAACTAGAGAATAATTATCACTATAAAACTTATGATAAGGAAAAAAGTCAAATATTATGTACCTGAGTGCTGTAACTTTAAAAATTACTTTTTGCTTTAAACTGGCATGACAGATTGCTTAAGTAACAAGTTTTTAACTAGAAAAAGTTATCTCCTTTCTTATAAAATTATTCTACAAATTATTTTTTAGACTGAGGTTGATATTTATATATAGGCAACTTAGAATATTAATAAAGAGGTATTTCAGTTGACAAAGTTACCTATTTCAAATTTATATAACTTACTTAGTGGCACTCGCAGCACATATACTAAAAAAGGGAACATCAGAATAACCGCTCAATGGTGCTGGCGAGTTTTAAAGCAATTCTGTTTTAGGGTTTGGAGCTCTTAAGGTGTTAGGGAGTCAGTATGTTCAGGAAAATGAACCTCATTTTCTATTGGCTTTTCATCAACACCAAAACAATCATATTCACAATAGGTTTAGTCCCTCAGCAACCTGTTATGTATTTTATACATGAAGATATTTTCCTTCCTTATTTAGAAAAATAAAAAACACACTATAGATATATTGTCTAATTATAAAAAGAAATAATGCTTATCTAGAGGATTCAGAAAATGAAAAAAAAGTTTAGAAAGTAAAAACAAACCCCTCTATTAATCTCTCAATCCTTTCCAATATGGTCCCAATTTTCTGCTTGCCTTCATGGTAGTTCTGTTCCCTTACCTCTCATACTCAAATCCACTCTGATCAGGGCACTGCCTCCATCATGCTATGAGGCATTCTTGTCGAGGTTACCAATGACTTTATCTTGCCAAATTTCCTAGACAGTTCACTGTTTTTACCTGTTGTAGTTTGGATCTGGACTGTCCCTCAAAGGTCTGTGTGTTAAAGACTTTGTCCGCAGTTTGGCCTTAGTGGGAGGCAAGGGAGCCTGCAGGATGTCTGGCCTAGTAGTCAAGGTGTGGGGCTCCATCCCAGGTGGGGACTGTGGGACCCTAGCTCTTCCTTTTTCTCTCTTTCCCTTTCTGGCCATGCAGTGTACAGTTCTGCTCTGCCATGTCCTTCTGTCATGATGTGCTCCCTTGCCATGTGCCCAAAAGCAAGGGGGCCAATTGATCCTGGATTGAATCCTTTAAAACTAAGCTAAAATAAACCTTTCCTTTTTAAAGTCGATTTCTCAGGTGTTTGTTGTGGTGCTAGGAAGCTATATATTATGTTAGTTTTCTTTTCTGTATTTGATAATGACACATTCACAACTTCCCTCATCTTTGAAATACTGGGCTTTTGTGATACTACACACTGATTTTTTTCTCCTTTTCATAGTTTCCTTTGATTATTTTTTTTTTTTTCTTTTATTCACTTGTTTTTTTTTTTTTTTTTCTTTTATTCACTTGTGTGGTGCTAGGGATCAAACCCAGGGCCCTGTGCATATGAGGCAACTGTTCTACCACTAAACTACGTAACTCAGCCTACTCCATTCTTCTTTTAAGAAACAGCTGGGCATGGTAGCACACACTTGTAATCCCAGCATTCAGGATGCTGACGCAGGAAGATCTTGAGTATGAGGCCAAACTGAGATACACAGTGAGTGCAAGGCCAGCCTCGATTACATAATGAAATCCTGTCTCCAAAAAAATAAAAAAACACATTCTCTTAAATGTAGGAATGTTCTTTTCTCATTTGTTGCTGCTCTCTCCCTAGGTGATCTCAACTAGTCTCTTGGCCTGCAGTATTTACACACGTGCTAGGCCGCATATTTCTATCAATAGACTTGATACTACAACAATCCAGCAGCCCCAGCTGGGCTCCAGAGTCACACACTCAACAATCTGACATCTATATAGGGACTAAACATGTTGAAAACAGAATTCTTAACCCCTCAAACTCAGCTCAACTACCCTTTAAACACCTCACTGCTTGCAAATGATTGCTCTTCCAGCCGTCTCTACCCTGGCAATAGCACCACCATCAGTTTAGCTCCTTAATCCACATAATTTAGAATACTATTTGACTCCACCCTTTTCTTTCTCCTACAGCCAAACTGCATGCAGGTAACCAACCAATTCAATGAGTCTCTTCTTTTGCTACCAGTATTCTAATGCCTCCTCTTCTGGAGTCAAAAATATCAGCACTTTAAAAACTATTAATCAATTATTACTTAAAAAAATTTCTTTAAAATCAAATTTTCACTATTTGTGGTAGGGCAAATGAATTTTTTCCCAGCTGAAGTTTTTTTGAGACAGGATCTTGTTGTGTAGTTCAGACTGACCTTGAACTCACTATGTAGCCCAAGCCGGCTATGAACTTGCAGTGATCCTCCTGCCTTAGCTTCCAATGGGTGCTGGGATTATAGGCATTTGCCACCACAACTGACTCCAGCTTAGTTTTAAATTCTTATTGTATAGAAGTTGGAACCTTATCGGAGAACTATGTCTTACCTATTGATATTCCACTAGAAAGAGTGGAACTTTCAGCTTGACCTCGAGATGGTGCATGAGGCTCCATGACACTATCATCCAACAGGTGTCTCGGCCCTGCATTTGGGAACGTTGCACTCTTAAACTCTGCTGTGTTCATTTTATGAATGAAACTGGAAACAAAGAGAAATATTTTTCACAACTTTTATTATATTATTAATTCAGCATATACAAAATACTCTAAAATTCAGGATATAAAAGATTTATCTGCTATCCTGAACTCATTTCTCAACTTTCATAGCAATGAACACACTAATTTTATTAGGACAGCCTTAAAGTAACACTTCAGGGAAAATGTTTAGGGGAACTTGGCCATAGTTACATGTATAATGAGAACATATGTTAAAAAATTGTTTTCAAATTCACTGTTAGAGAATAATTATGAAGTTAAACAAAATATCATTTTCCTTTTATTTTATACTCAGGAATAGAGTAATTTTTAGAGCTTATTACTTATTTGAAGGACTTCCTTGATGTAAAGGTTACGATTTAAAAGGAAAATGGTTCATTGCTATTCCAATTCTATTTATAATGGTTCTCTCATTTGTCTTCCTCAAATATGAAGGCAGTGGTTGAAAACAGCTGAGTTTCAAATTCTGGTCAGGAAAAAATAGATTCTTTTAGGCAAACAATATGTTTTACTCAGTCAGAAAGAGTGTTATTAAAAATATTATACAAGGACACTATTTACTATCTCTTTAATAAAGTGAAGAAAATAAATGCAACTATAAACACCTACAAATTGAGAGGTAAAATAAAAAATACTGACTTATAACCCAAGCTATGGCACTTTCTGTGTCCATGGGAAATCAGGTTCCGAGGGGACGGAGGTGTCTGTGGCAGCAAGGCTCCTTCAGCTGCTATGCTTTTTCTTCCACTCTGTGGTGATGCTCCTACTTCAGGACCTAAGGGTTCAATTAAAACAGAGAGAGAGAAAAATTTTCATATGGTTCCAAAGGATTATTTTACTTTTAATCCCTTGATATAAAATATAAAATATGGTTAAATTTTAACTGACTTGAAGATAAGTAATACTTATTTTTTAAGTCCTGCAGCACAGAATCCCAAATCATACAAAAAATCCACAGATTTCTATCTTTCTTTACTTGAACTAAGAAGAGACAGTGTAAATATATTCTTCACTTACAAGAAGCAGAATTAGAAGAAAATGGCTCAGGATCTCACTTCACAGACAAAACCTAATCTATGCTGGGCATGGTGGCACATGCCTATCATTCCAGTACTCAGGAGGCTGAGGCAGGAGGACTGCGGTGAGTTCAAGGCCAGCTTGGCTTACATAGTGAGTTTCAGGCCAGCCTGAACTACACAGCAAGACCTTATCTCAAAAACACAAACAAACACAACATCAAAAGCCAAAACCCAAAGCCCAAAACAAAAAGCAACAACAAAAACTTGGTCTAAATACCCAGGTCTTCTGAGTTCTAGGTTTAGTGTTTCTATTTTTATTTATTGCTTTTTTACTCATGGTTTCTGCTTCCTTTAACAGGAGGTACAGGGTAGGTCAAGCACTCATGTTAGAAGTCAAATGTACATATACAACACACACAGTTCTGCACCATGTTGCTTTAAGAACTAAAGACAAATTTAAGAGACTTAGACTGAAGTATTTTCCTCTACTTGGAATGCCCTTCCTCTAGATACTGTCATGATTTGTTCCCTTACTTCTTCACATCTTATTATTAGACAGCCTTCAAATATTTTAAGCCTATACAACAGAAGGTTTAGTGTGAAGTTCTATAACGGTAACAATCAATCGGTTATTTCTTAAATGAGTAAGTTTTTCAATTGTATGTTTCATTGATTATTTATGGTATAAATATTAAAAAATATCCCATTATAATGTAACAAATAAAGTTAGGAGCATTCTTTTAAGTAACTTTAGTTCTTGGCTCAGTATTTAAGTAAATTTTAAAAAATTAAGTCACTAGAACTGACTTGAATAATTATTCAAATTAATAGAATTTTGGATTTAGACCATAGACCCACCCTCATTGCCTAGAGATTGCATTCTTAATCTTAAAAATGAATAGAATATTCATAATCTCTCATCTATTATTTTCTGTTGTACCTGCCTTCCTTGATTAGCTAACATTTACTCGCATATTACTGACAAAACTACAACTTTTAATTAAAAAAACAAAAAACCCAGTGCTAGAGACGTAGTTCAGTGGTAGAGTACTTTTCTAGCATGTGTGATGCCCTAGGTTCAAGTTCAGCAAGGCAAAAACAAAACAAAAAAAAACCCAAGAGGACTAATAAATTTTATTTTACAAAATACTGGATTTTAGTATGGTATTATACATGTATATAACATACTCTAGTTATATCCACCCCCTCCCCATTACCCTTCTCTTTTACTCCCTACCCTTTACGCCCTTCCTCTTATCCAGTAACAGTAGGGACCGACAGATTTTATAACCAAAAAGAAACTTCTGAATACAATATATGTTCAGTACTTACTTACTTAGAGGTATATTCTTTCCTATTTGTTACCTGATGTATTATTTAGAAATGAGAGAAGAAGACTATGCACTAACCTACTAAATCTTCCCTGGAAGCAGCAGACCGTGGTGTGCTCGTCCCTGGTTCTATTTTTAGTGAGAGCCTGAATTTTAAAAAGATACAATACATGAAATGATGATTTGACAAAATAATATTAAAGTCATGCATTTTCTCAAAAAATAAAAACACTTTTTATAAAATAATGTCACCTATTATATTTTTCTTCCAGAGCAATCTTTAAGATGTTAAATTACTTCTTTTACCCAAAGCTGACCTTATGGTAATTCTAAGAAATAGTAACAAGGAGAAAAGAAACCCAAAATGTTACATTCAAAAACAAAAAAAAAAAAGTCTTTCAAACTACCTCAGAGGTTCCAAACACTTAGACAAATTTAAAGATATTTGCTGAAGGACTAAAAGACAATTGATATATATTTTTACACTTAAAAGACACAAGTTTAGGAATGTTGATCCACATGACGTAAATTTATATAGTTATATAATATTATTAGTAAATTACATAATATGTATGTTATTTCTAGAATTTTTTTTTTTTTGGTTTTTCTCCGGTACCAGGAACCGAACTCATGACCTTGCGCTTGCCAGGCAGGCGCTTTTGCCGCTGAGCTAAATCCCCAGCCCCATTTCTAGAATTTTTAGTGGATAAACTATGTGACATTAACACTGACAATTTCAAAAACACTTGTTCAAAACAAACTATCCAAAAAATCAACTAACATAGCTTATCGAAAGAAAGATCTGTATCAGTGATGGAGAGCCTAGGCACGAATGCTGCACTGGGTTGTTTGCTATCACTGAGAGCTCTGAAAGGTTTGCCATCACTGGTCTATACAAATAAAAAGGTTGTGAAATTCCTAGGAAATCCCTTCCCTAAATCAAAGTTTCTTGTTACTTTAGTTCCATTTAGGATTATATGTCCAGTTGAGTTCCGCAGCAAAAGAGATTGATTCATATCAGTGGAAGCAATTCTGGAAAATAGAGTACTAAAGCAGTTGTAGAAAATGCTTTAGTGTGGTACATGAAGCTTAATGTGAATCTGAAAATTAATGACTGTTTAGCATTCTATTGACTTGAATTTTTTATGAAATACAAATGGCACTCACAGTGATAAATCTAATGTAGGTTAGCGAGCAATGATGTCCTTGATATTGTAAGGGGGAATTAAATGATATATGCTAATTATGTGACAACGTAAAAGAAATGAGTTGAACACATGAATAATTAACCAGAACTCTGTTCATTTTCTCTTTATAAAACAGTTGCTTTTACTGTTTAGGCTACAGACTATTCACTCATTTGATATTTACTGAACATCTGCTTTGTGCTGGGGATTGTGCTCAGCACTACCACGTAAGAGACTAAGATAGATATGGTGCCCTTGTCCTTCGGCAGCTTATGCTACAGTCTGTAAAAGCTGAAGTGAACAAAATAACCCTAATTTTCTAACAGCACCCAATTACTGCACGAATCACACTGCTATCTGTAACAACTGGTAACTGACAGCAGTATCAAAAGCTCCTTAAAGCACACAGCCATGACAGCCACTCTGAGTGCCAGTTGCTTATGTCATCAAAGCATCATACAGTAACAGTGATGATGATTCACTAAGAAATGTTATCTTCAGCATTAAAATTAAATAACAGATTTTTATCCTGATTGAAAGACTTGTATGTAACCTGTAATATCTACATTGGCTGGTAAGGGAGAACTTACCAAAATGGGCCTTTGGCTAAGTGTGATTTTGATTTAAATATTTTTCATGATCAAAAAAATGTGCTACTAATTTTAATGGATTTAGTCTTACAAGGCTTTTCCATTCTAACAGTATTTAACTAGAAGCCTGACGCTGCATTTCCAGCACCACAGCATGACTCCTCCAGCCTCATCTATGATGCGCAACACCAAGTAACTGAAAGTCCCCAGCAAGCTTCCCCAGTCCCTCTGCTCACCCCACCTCTAGGACGCCTGTCCTTACCCACCAGAAAGTGCCAACTTTTTGTTTTTTTGAGACAGGGTCTTGCTATGTAGCCCAAGATAGCCTTCAACTCATGGAAATCCTCCAGCTTCAGCTGTGCTCAGATTACATGTTGGGAAACCATGCCCAACAGGTGCTAACTTCTATTCACCTGCTAAAATGCAGCCTCAGGGCCAGGTGTGGTGGGTAGGGCTCACCTATAATCCCAGCACTTGTGAGGCTGAGGCAGGAGGATCACTGCTGAGTTCAAGGGGCCAGCCTGAAAGTGAGCTCAAGGCCAGCCTGAATTGCATAGTGAGAGCCTGACTCAAAAAAGATTTTAAAAAAGGCAGCCTCAGGTGACAGTGTCTCCTGTAGCTAGCTATTCATGTTTCTCTTCTCTTTGCTTTTCTTACTCAAAGCTGGGTTAGGCCTTCCCTTATCTATGTTTCCACACCATCCTAGGAATATCGCTACTATAGTACTATTAGCGTGTTTTGAAATAAATTATTTTATGGATGTTTGTCTTGAATGAGACTGAAATTCCTGAAGACAAGGACAATACATTATTTATCTTTGTAATTTCAACAACCAACATAGTAACTGGCCTATTGCAAAACCTTAGTATTTTTTCTTTTTTTTGGTGCTGGGAATCGAACTCAGGACCTTGCACTTGCCAGGCAGGCAATGTACCGCTGTGCTATATCCCCAGCCCAAGCTTAGTATTTTTTAAATGAATAGTGAAAAGGCTGCTCTCATTCTGGCCACTCATGAAGACAAAAATCAATATAATGGCATCAGCATTCCTAAAAAGATGAAGGTATCTTATATCTTACACCAGGTTATGAACAGTTAGAACTACTCAACAGCCTTAATGGCTGAGTCTGTCTTTTCAGCAAAATAAAAATTAGTTTCAATAAATTATCTATTACACATATACTGTAATCAGTAAAAATCAATGCAAAATTCTTTGACTTCATTTCTACTTTAACTTCTTTTATGTCTAGTAAGTTGAATGAGCCAGATAAAAAATTTTTAGTGGAGACTCCTGTTTTGAATTTTAAGGTATCTGTTCAAAGCCTAAGTGTTTAATGTTAGGTTAAGTGTTATGTCAGTAACTTGAAAGATGGGGAAAACATTCATAAATAGAGACAGAGCATCAAATTCAAGAAACTTTACAAGCTAGGGCAAGAGATTTGTGAAGCAACTCTAGCCTTACAATGCTGATTCATTTGCCTTATCTATATGTTCAAATGAATTAATATATAAAATCCTTGGTAAAATAAAAATCATTATAGAAATATAAAGTACTAATATTATAACGTGGGGGGATAGTGGCAATAGGGTATTTTTAAGCATTAATAAACTTCTACAGATTTGAATATATACGCAGAGTGTAATATAGTTAATGTTTGAAGAAAAGTTCATTTCTAGTTGTTTTCCAGAATTTCTAGGCTTTCTATCGGATTCTGTTCTACAGAATTATGCAAAGATTATTAAAATCTATGGAACAAGAATGTAAGAAAAATGTTTTTCATTAATGCTCAGAAATAAGTCTTTTACTTTGATATAGTTTAAAAATAAACTTTTTTGGGGGGAAAAATTTAGAAGACATAAAACTCAATTTGGAAAACTACGAACAACTGGTGTAACAAAGTTCAGTGAAAAGCTGGGCATGAAGACATGATGACAGGCCTGCGGTACCAGCTACGCAGAAGGCTGAAGCGGTAGCATCATTTGAATCTAGTAATTTGGGAACAGCCTGGGGAAAACAGTGAGATCCCACTTCTATTTTATTTTTAAAGCTAAGCAAAAAATGTATTAAAAAAATTAACAAATGAAGCTAAAGGAAAAATGAGAAGCTTGGAGAGAAATAAGCTCTAAATCCTCCTATACTTTGAAAACCCAGCAGTTAAGATATAAGTGGTTTTACCAAAACACGAAAAAGGATAACAATGTATAAACATCCCTGTCCTAAACAACATTAGGGATGGTAAGGATAAAGCAGATGTGAATAAAAGTCATTTGATTTCAATTTACATTTCAACTTACTTGAAAAAACACTTTAAAATCTTTAATAAAGGACTTCCAATAATACAGAAAAAAAAGTAAATGTAGTGCTATGTTAGAGAATTACATCAATAACCCAGAGGCAAGAAAGTTTAATATTGTTTCAATATCCAAAAAAAAAAGATGTGTTCAAAAATTACCACTAGAAAAGTATCTTTTCTATTTTATAGACTGTTTCATTAATGTTTCTGGCTATTGAAAAAATTTCCATAAAGATTCAACGATTAAATTATGGAGAAAGAAATAAATTTGTTTGAATTACAAAACTTCAGCTCTCTACCAAGTTGAGAAAGATAAAATACTTTTAAATAAAGTAACAAATGACCTTTATATACTGATTGAATAATAACAAGTGATTAAAAAGAAACATAGTAAGTACCTTTAACATTATTAATGCACCACTCAAGTAGGTACCTGTATATAATGCAGATTTAGATACTGAAAGACATTTAGATGTTTAAATAAAATAGTGGAGGACAGGACAAAGTACAAACCAATTATGAAGATCCAACCTACTTGTAATTATCATCTTCCACAAATTTTTGTAGTTCTTCTATATACTGAACAGAGTTCAGGTATTTTTGGACGTGAGGCAACATGGGAATATCTAGGCAAAACATGATAAATAATTATCCAGTGAAGTAGATCTTAAACAGAACTGAAAAAAGTTAAACTGAGAAAAATAATTAAAGGAAAATTAAGGCCACATGGCACCAAAATTGAAATTATCTGCAGGAGAATACTACTGAGATAAATTTTACTTAAAGTAAAACTGAAGGAAAGTTAAAAAATTATAGGTGCACGCAGCATATAAAATTTTATAATTTTATAAAAACCAGAATAAGCTCAAGTAAGTCCCACACATTTGAGAAACTTCATAGAAAGAAAATCAGAGACTTCATTTTGATTTATAGTAAGGCCTCAGCTCAATACAAGAAATGAGGGCAGTTATTTTTCTTTTAAAGGAATCTGTCAATCTGTCTTTCATTTATAAATGTGTCCCCTACCCAATTACAAATTTCAAATAAGAACAGGTTAGCATTACTATTTGGTTTTGTGTCTAAAAAAATTCAGAAAAGGACAGATAAGAGATTTAACTTTAATACAAATTTTCCCTGCCCCCTCTTTCAGGAAAGTTTTTTAAAAGTAGAGCTGCATATACGCAAAGTTAGTTTTAAGACACACTTACATGAAATAAATTAGATGATTTAAACACTTTTTTTTCTAAACCATAAAAATTCTGTTTATGGACAGTTAGAACGACTTTAACGGCTTCAATGGCTGAGTCTATCCTTATTCCCCATCAAGATGAACGCAATCCAAACAGTTAAAAACCTCACTTTTCTAATCATTTGGGCTTACTTAGCAGTTTTTCAATGTACTATATCATTCCATAAAATACACCAGGACAAAAACTGGTTTGCTCAATGTCTGAACTCCAGGCAGTTAGTCAACTGTTACTAGGGAACACTGTCTCAGCTACTTTCCTAACTGAAGAATATAAGAACTACTTACAAAACAGTGATTAAATGAGGTGAATAGAAAATAATTTCAAAAACTTTATAAAAGGCTAAAAATTGTGAAGTGGTAAATTTCTAAAAAAAAAATTTTAGGATGCTAAGCTGGGTACCATGAGGTACAACTGTAGCCCCAGTTACTCAGGAAGCTAAGGCAGGAAGACTGATTGAGCACAACAGTTCAAGGCCAGGCTGGGCAACACAAGGATACCCTGTCTTGTCAAAACAAAACACAGTGCTAAATAGTAACTGTCGGCGTGAAAGACCACAACTCTCCTTTATGTTACAATGGAATAAGAATGTGATGTTCACTGCTGTGTGAAAAGTGGTCATCAGTATGTGTCAGTGAATCACTGAAAGCACAGCATGATAACAGGTCAACATCATCCCCCAGAAGCGTACCGTATTCACAGGACTGCTGCAAATCAGAAATTATCCGCAGGATGTTGTTCATTAAGTTTGTTCTTTGCTCATTTTCTAGAATGCTGCCAGTTGATGGATATGCTGAATCAATGTATGTTAAATCTGACAAATAGATACCTGAAAGAAAGTTAGATAAAAGAATGTTTTCTTACTTGTAGTTTGGAAGAAAATGACAAAGTGAAGGAGAAAAAGTTCATTTATAGCTATATTCTGGTGTCTGCTGTATTTAGAATATATTGTCATTAGGCTGGACATGGTGGCGCACACCTGTAATCCCAGGCACTCGGGAGGCTGAGGCAGGAGGATCATTGTAAATTCGAGACCAGCCTGGGTTACAAAGTGAGCTCAAGGCCAGCCTGAACTGCACAGCGAGACCCTGTCTCAAAAAAAGACAAAAAACAAACAAACAGAATATATTGTCATTAATATATTAGCAACATATGGTGACACCGGACCTAGAGTTGCATAAAGTTGGGGTCAGACATGGACATGATATGTTCCCTATAAATATCTTCTCTTGATACTGTTTTCAAGTATCTTAAGTATTTTAAGGCTGTAATTAGCAACTCTGGCATGTATGGGACTTAAAGAGGAAAGAGGCTGAACTGGCTTTGCTTCTAACTAGTTGTATGATGAAGACATTTTAATTCTTGAGTCTCAGTTTTTATATCTAACATCTATTACCTATTTTTCATGTTTTACTACAATTAAGAAGTTAATCATAGTCAGTGTCTCACATAAGGAAGTTACTTAATGTTAGTCTCCTATCCATATCTTGAATTGACTACTACTATTGTAAGTACTACTGCAGTGAGTCCTAACTGCTGTACTTTGAAAATTGTCTCAATCTGGTAGAAACATCTTAGCTAAAGATCAAAAACTGGATCAAACATCTTAGCTTAAAGATCAACAACTTTTTTTTTTTTTCTTGAGACAGAGTCTCACTATACAGTTTGGCTTGGCCCTGAACTCACTACGTAGCCCAGGCTGGCCTGGAATTCACTGCAGTCTTCCTGCTTCAGCCTCTCAAGCACTCAGATTACACGTCTGCACCACAATATCCAACTAACAACTGCATTTTTCAATGTGACTATAAGTTGAATTTTCCTATTCTCTTTATGTTCCTTTACCAATAAAAATAATACATTTCCCAAGATAATTTGGTTGCATTAGTCTCAATCATGGAAGGTCACTCACTTCAACATACTTCCTGAGAGTTCACCACTCACATATAAAATGTGTAGGACAATTATAGTAGGAGAGGAAAAAAATGTGTACTTTTGTACTTATTATTCTGCCTTCACAAACTGTCAAGGTCAATGGAATCAAAATGACATACCACTGTCTCCCAAAGACGCCCCATGTTATTGTGTACATGCTGTTTTCTCCCACCATCAACCTGTACTAGACACATCTCCGCCCATTCAAATCTTCTACCTTACATATCCAGTTCAGTGCCAAATTTCCCCATAATGCAACACTAAACCTAACGACTGAATTTGATTCAGTTCTTGTCCAGTTTTGTTTGGGACCAGAACTGTGGAAAGAATTAAGTTCATGAACTAAGGCACTACGGTGTTCTCTAAGCCACCAATCCCAAATATGTGTTTTCCCCCTATGTCTTCAAATGAATCTACAGCCTTGGTCTCTTTCACTTCCTCCAATCTCAGAGGAGAAGCTCCCTCTTCTTTCCAAATCCCAACTGCAACCCTGAATGTAACGGCTACGGCCTCTTTCCAAACATCTGCTGTTGCCCCTACTGTCATTCACCTGCCTCTCAGCGACTCCCTTCTCAGAGCCAAGAGACACCTACTTCCAACTACTTAGGAAAACAAAACGCAATCCTTCCTTCAAATCTGATCCTCTCAAGAAAGGAAGCTTACCCACCGCTCTTCACAAACACCTTGAAGGGGAAACAGAACACCATACTTCTTTATCTTCTATTCTATTTTTACCGTAATATCTGATGCATATAAAAGTTTACATGAATCCAGAAAAATTGCAAAAGGCCATGAAATGGGCAAAAAAACATAGAAAGTACTAGGTATCCTCTCTTCAGTGCATCCTTTGGCCCTTGTGAGCTATTTTATAAGTTGCAGAACTGGTAATATAACAAATTCATTCTGTGTGCAACCACTGAGCTGCGTTGCATCTCAGCCCCTTGCCTTTTTTAAAAAAAGAGTGTCTCCCTGAACTGCCTAGGCTGACCTCCCACTTGTGATTCTCAGGCCTGAGCTTTCTGAGTAGCTAAAATTACTGTATAGGTTTGTGCTGCTGTGCCTAACCTGGGACAGGAGTACAAATTCTTGACTGTAACAGTGCCACTGCATTATATCCAGTGGGACATAACCGACTGTCCTGTGGATGCTAATTTAGCAACTATGTGTGAATTCATTTCAGCACTTCTAATTACTTATATGTGTGTTACTTTGAATTATCCCTTCACGTAAATGGTTTTATCTTCCCAATTCCTCTATAAATTTAATGATTTAAATAAAACCTTTGGACATACATTGATTTTATATTTGAGTGAGAACTATTAATTCATCTTTAAGAAATTACCCTTTCACACATGTAACATCTGCTACCAATATGTGGGAAAAACCAGTCAATTTAAGAACTGCAGCCTCCCTAAGGAGACCTAAAACAGGTTCTTCAAAGAAAGGGCATCCGCGATGTTTGTACATGTACATCAATAATATTAATAAAAGATTGTGTTAAAAGTAACAGAAAAAGTTAAAGGGAAGTTTCACATAAGTTCTTTGAAGGAAATGTCACTGCCTGCTGATGAGATCAAGACAGTAGATTTCAGCTGGGCAATTAATGTCCCTATTCTTGCCATTCTTCCACTATCATTAAATCCAGATGACAATTATCACTATTTATAACTCTGCTATCCGAAATGATAGTCACTGTCACGTGATGATTATATCTAATGGGTTTATTCTGAATTTATGTGTTTAAACAAGATGATAAAGAAGAACTGTAACATCATTATTACCATTATATTATGTTTGCTCCTTCTAGGTGTAACTACTGTTCTGAATTTTTAAGACTGTTCGCTTTTCTCTCAAGACATGTCTGTATCTCTGGATACTATATTACTTATAGTAATATAGTATTACTTATTTTTAAGCTTTAAAAAATAATATTTTATATGTTTTACTAATAATGTCTGTAAAGCTAGAAAACTAGTATAGTTTAAGTGATTTATAAGCATTTATTAAATACATTTTAAAAGTAGGGTTTTCTGTAAAGTACTTAACACAGAATCCAAAAAAATCCAGTGGTACCCACTAAGCACTGCTGGTAATTAACTGAGTAAAATATGAGTGATTAAAAAGATACAGTACTCTGTAATTGCTTTGTTTCACTGTTTTGTTACCATTTTGTTTCTGTTATTAAATACAGCCATAATTCCTTTTACTAAGAATAATGTTAAGGCTTTATCACAATTTACTCATTTTATGTGACAAACTTTTGAGTTACCTCCTTACTCCAAGTTACTATAGATATTCTTGTAGTATCTCCTAGCACACATGTGCAGACCCTCTCTAGGATGCACACATGTGGACCACACTGCTAAGGTATATTAATAATCAACATCACAAGACAGTGCTAACACTGCTTTTTAAAGTTTTATCAATTTCTACTTCACTGACAATACATGTCTCTACTGATCCACATTTGTTCTTTTATTTGGTACTGTTAGTTTTTGTCAGTCTTATAACATAGTATCTCTGTCTTTTCATTCCCTTTATTAGTAGTAAGTTTCGTTCATTTTTTATCTCTTACTGATTTCTAATTTTTTGATATACTGTGGATACTAACCCATGTGTTAAATTGTATCCAGTCACTTGTCAGCACACTACTGTAAAAATGAACTCTGTATCTAACATGCTGCTGAAACTTTTTTTTTTAATCTGGGGGGTCTTTGGAAAAAAGAGCCCATTGATAACTTTATTACAGCCAACATCTGAGACGCTTCTAACTCAGCAGTCCACCTGTGAGGCCCAGGCAAACACATAAGCACAGGCAGTAAACCCTGCCATCATAAAGAAAGAGTCCTGGGCACAGAGTCATATGGGGTGAGTGTTACATGGTGCGTGTTATGGGGATCCAATTGCCAATGCCAGCTCACCAGAGATTCTTTAGAAACACATCCACAGAGTACCAAATTAGGGACCATTTTCATTCTACTTCCAAGTTAGCTGTATGGAAAATCTGGTAATGCTACTTGGTACTGATTATGTATTAACTCTGGAGGTTAAGTCTCACTATGTAGGTCAGGATGGTCTCAAACTTAACAGTGACTATCCTGCCTCAGCCTCCCAAATGCTGGGATTCTAGGTCTGCACCACCACACTCAACCATGAGATTCCTTTTGGAATTCCTCAATTGCAGCGAAGAAAGCTGCCCCCAAACTACGGTGGCATTTGTGGTGTGCTGAACACTACTAGAGTGGAACAGAAAGTAGGACTGCGGGCTCAGCGCCTCCCAGCAGGGCAACCCACCTCTCTGGGACACAAGGGCGCTGGAACAGGAGGCGGCAGCAACCACTCACCGAGTTGAGAAGACTGTGACCCTGCAGCCCCTCCGCACTGCACAGGACATCCTGAGCCTGCAGCAACTGTGGCTGTGGTACGCAGCGCCCAGAGCTACACTCTGGGCCAGCGGCAACACCCAGCGCATCTGCTGCTGAAATTTACTTCCAGAAGACATCATTGACCACCTCATTATAAATCAATCTCTCGTTTCCCCCTTCTATTTAATTTCTTTGCAAGGTTTTGGGTGGGATTGGTGATTAAACCCAGGGTGTTCACACTGCTGATTAAACCCAGAATTATATCCCCAGCTCTTCTTTAAAATTTTGAGACAGGGTGTCACTAAGTTGCCCTTGCTGAGCCTGAACTTGCAATCCTGCCTCAGCCTCTCCAGAGTGCTGAGATTACACACCTAACTTCTCTGCAGTATTATAGCCACTGGCTTTTCCTTGTTGTTTTTTCCCTGCTTGATCTTTCCCAGCCTTTCCCCCTTGATTTTTTCTCTTCTCTCGTTTCTTAGATGTTGGTATTCTCCATGGTCTATTATTAAAATTCCTTACTTCCCAATACTTT